GCCGCCGCCGCCGCCGCCGCCCCCGGCCGCCGCCCTGGACGGGGCCAAAGCGGACGGGCTGGGCGGCAAGGGAGAGCCGGGCGGCGGCCCTGGGGAGCTGGCGCCCGTCGGGCCGGACGAGAAGGAGAAGGGCGCCGGCGCCGGGGGGGAGGAGAAGAAGGGGGCGGGCGAGGGCGGCAAGGACGGGGAGGGGGGCAAGGAGGGCGAGAAGAAGAACGGCAAGTATGAGAAGCCGCCGTTCAGCTACAACGCGCTCATCATGATGGCCATCCGGCAGAGCCCGGAGAAGCGGCTGACGCTCAACGGCATCTACGAGTTCATCATGAAGAACTTCCCCTACTACCGCGAGAACAAGCAGGGCTGGCAGAACTCCATCCGCCACAACCTGTCCCTCAACAAGTGCTTCGTGAAGGTGCCGCGTCACTACGACGACCCGGGCAAGGGCAACTACTGGATGCTGGACCCGTCGAGCGACGACGTGTTCATCGGCGGCACCACGGGCAAGCTGCGGCGCCGCTCCACCACGTCGCGGGCCAAGCTGGCCTTCAAGCGCGGGGCGCGCCTCACCTCCACCGGCCTCACCTTCATGGACCGCGCCGGCTCCCTCTACTGGCCCATGTCTCCCTTCCTGTCCCTGCACCACCCCCGCGCCAGCAGCACTTTGAGTTACAACGGCACCACGTCGGCCTACCCCAGCCACCCCATGCCCTACAGCTCCGTGTTGACTCAGAACTCGCTGGGCAACAACCACTCCTTCTCCACGGCCAACGGGCTGAGCGTGGACCGGCTGGTCAATGGGGAGATCCCCTACGCCACGCACCACCTCACGGCCGCCGCGCTCGCCGCCTCGGTGCCCTGCGGCCTGTCGGTGCCCTGCTCCGGGACCTACTCCCTCAACCCCTGTTCGGTCAACCTGCTCGCGGGCCAGACCAGTTACTTTTTCCCCCACGTCCCGCACCCATCAATGACTTCGCAGAGCAGCACGTCCATGAGCGCCCGGGCCGCCTCTTCGTCCACGTCTCCGCAGGCCCCCTCGACCCTGCCCTGTGAGTCTTTAAGACCCTCTTTGCCAAGTTTCACCACGGGACTGTCCGGGGGACTGTCTGATTATTTCACACATCAAAATCAGGGGTCTTCTTCCAACCCTTTAATACATTAACATCCCTGGGACCAGACTGTAAGTGAACGTTTTACACACATTTGCATTGTAAATGATAATTAAAAAAATAAGTCCAGGTATTTTTTATTAAGCCCCCCACCCCCCATTTCTGTACGTTTGTTCAGTCTTTAGGGTTGTTTATTATTCTAACAAGGTGTGGAGTGTCAGCGAGGTGCAATGTGGGGAGAATACATTGTAGAATATAAGGTTTGGAAGTCAAAATTATAGTAGAATGTGTATCTAAATAGTGACTGCTTTGCCATTTTCATTCAAACCTAACAAGTCTATCCTTAAGAGCCGCCAGATTTCCATGTGTGCAGTATTATAAATTATCATGGATCTTTATGGTGGACGCAGACCTTGAGAACAACCTAAATTATGGGGAGAGTTTTAAAATGTTAAACTGTAATTTGTATTTAAGAAGCATTCGTAGTAGAGGTGCCCAAGAAATTATTTTGGCCATTTATTGTTTTGTCCTTTTCTTTAAAAAGCTGTTTTGTTTTTTTTTTTTTTAATTTTGTTTACTTTTAGACCAAAGATTGGGTTCTAGAAAATGCACTTGGTATACTAAGTATTTAAAAAAAAAAAAAAAAAGAAAGTTGTTTCAGTTGGCAGCACTGCCCATTCAAATGAATCGGAAGGGGACAAAATTAATGATTGCCTTCATTTTGTGTTGTGTATATTTTGATGTATGTGGTCACTAACAGGTCACTTTTATTTTTTCTAAATGTAGTGAAATGTTAATACCTATTGTACTTATAGGTAAACCTTGCAAATATGTAACCTGTGTTGCGCAGATGCCGCATAAATTTGAGTGATTGTTAATGTTGTCTTAAAATTTCTTGATTGTGATACTGTGGTCATATGCCCGTGTTTGTCACTTACAAAAATGTTTACTATGAACACACAGAAATAAAAAAATAGGCTAAATTCATATATATCTTGATACTTTTGTCTCTTTTATTAAGTAGAACTAATTTTTAAAAGATCATTAAAGTTCTAGGGAATTCAAAGGCTTTTTCAGCCAACTGAAATTTAAACTGCTCCTTTCATTTGAACTGAGACTTTTCAAATGAATATAATATTTTTTCCATTGTGGATTCAAATTTTACCAGGAGCAGACTATTTAATAAATGCTAGCTTTAAACAAAATATAGGCTTTTCAGCTGATATCTTTAAGTTTCTGTAGATATACAGTAAAAAGAGATTATTTAATTTTATGTGCATAGCTATTTACCTTGTGTTTATTTTCAAATCAGTTGATAGAATGCTTTTTATATATTTTGTTTCAGGTATCTTGTTTATAGCACTTGGCAAATTATAAATAAATATATGTATATGGTTAGATAGAAGTGAATATAATGCACACATATGTAATATATATAGACACACAGAGCCCTTCAGTTCAGGTACAATTTGCGCTATGAATGCTGCAAATATTTTTGTTTAAATATTTGTATTTATACTTTCTAAGTCAGCATTTATTTTTGTGGCTGTTTACCCACAATGAAAGAGTTCTAATAAAGATGTGCTGAAGTTGCAATATAGATTTTGCTGAAGTGATCACCTGTTGTAATGACTTGCAGATCAATGTTTATATTTTATTTTTAAATTATAACAATTTAAAGATCCAGATGTTCAGAAGAAGTAAAATGCCTCTCTCCTTTTCTTTCATTTTTACATCATAGAGGTATTTCTTGATTCCCTTTTAAATATGTCTGTGTAGTTTTATCTAGAAATTTGTCCTCTTGCTTAGTCATAATTTTGTTTTAACTTGCAGTATACATATGCATGCACATATATGCATATAGATATAAATCTGAAGCAAAATGAAAACATTTTCTTGAGTTGTTTAGCAGTCCAATTGCTGTGACTCCAGAAAATAATTAGTAAACCTAACTAAAAGGTTTAGTAACTAATTGGATCCTGTGGTGAGTCCGTGGAGGACAAGTTGTTCATTTGTTACAATTGTATAGTCTGAAATGTGTTCTGCAGTAATGCAATAAGCTGGCTACTTCTTACAAAGGGCCCAATGAAAAATAATCTGTCCCCAAGATGTTATCGGCAAACACTTAGAGAGTTGGTCAGGAGGAAAAAAAAAAAACCTAGGCGAGAAGCAGGCTGACTGAAACAGATTTGAAATACAACTACAGAATAGTTAATATTGGAATATGGGAATGGGTGGCCTGTGGAATGGAGAGATAGAGGAAGAGACAGCTAGAGGGAAGAAAGGGAAAGGAGGATCTTGAACCTTAAAAAAAAAAAAAAAAAGTCCCTGCTACCAAAAAGAAAAAATGAATGAGAGAGAGGAGAGAGAGATCTAAGACAGAAAAAGGCCAGGAAAAAATTAAAAGAGCTGGAACCAAATATACACAAATGGGGAAAGAACTAAAATAGACCAAGACAGCTAGTTTAATTATCTCCTTTAAGCAGACTGGACAAGATTCTATTTTCTTAGTATGAGAGCAGTTTCACCAGAGGTCTAAGTTTCTTGGAATTTAACAGTTCTTTAGGATGAAGCATGAAAGAAAATTCCACAAATAAATTATTTTAGAAGCCAAATGTATGACTGATAATAAAAATAGTAATAGCGTCCAAGTGAATGAAGTTAGGGAAAGGAAATTCCTATTACACATTTGTGATCCAAAACAGCTCAAAGACAAGCATGTGTTTAGACTGGAAAAGGTGATGATGTATTGTTTGCTTTCACCATGGGTTTTATTTGTAGAATAAGAATGTACTGGGACAGAAGAAATATAGTCTTTTGCCTATCAAAAGTTACAAAGACAGTCAGACTCATAGTGAGGTGAAGGGACATATATATAGAAGACAGATTTCCCCCATAAGTATTTTTTTATGGCCATATTAAATAGCTATTATTTCTGATTGTTTATTTGCATGATCAAGAAATAGAATTCCAGTGGCAAATGTAATGTTCTGAAATCAAAAGTAAAATCGACTTCTTTGAATTGATAACTAAGGACTGGAGTAGAAAGTTCTACTTGGATGCATGTCCAAGTTACACATACAACGGATATGATTAGAAGTAAGAATAGTTTGTTTAATATGCATACTAGATACTAAGGGGGATATACAGAGAGAAGGAACTTTGTGAAGGCCTCCTGAAGCCCAATATGAACATTTCATTTATCTCAGTGAGTCCTATCGTCCCTCAAACTATCATCTTCAAAACACACAGAAATCTAGCATGGCATTTAATAGATTTTTTGCAACAAATTGGTTGTAACATTGTGTTGTTATTTGTTGTCTTCAACCTTTGCCAGTTAAAATTAACTTATGCTGGAAAAACATTTTGAAACTTTTTGAAGCTTTTCTTCTTTTATAGTTAATAACTGTTTTTAATGAGATGAAGGTTGCTCTTTTTGAGATTTTGGAACTGGAAGTGCTTAGTGATCATAACTTATTTGACATCTCAAATTGCAGTTTCTTTCCAGGTTTAAAGTATTTTGTCTGCTACAAGTTAATACAAATTATTAATATATAAAACTTTGAGAGAGTGACTTACTTAAGCTAGAGCAGTGAAAAGATTCTTGCAAATGTTTCTTCAAGTTGTTTCAAAATTGGAAATTACGGGAATATGAAGCCCAGAACTAACAAGATTTAATACAAGTATCTATGCTCATGGAAGATTTCATGTGGTTTCTATTACTCACATCAAATTGAGGATAGATAAAAAAGAAAATGAGACTTGTAGTGTTTGATTTAATTATGTATATTTAAATTGGTTATTTCACCCAAGTAGGTGGATAAATCCAAAATACTTAGAGCTCTAAATATATAAATATGGTTTTTTAAAGTCTGTTTTCTACAACATCGTTGAAGAACTTGCATGCAATGAAATAATTTTGCTTTTGAGAAATTAATTTTAAGAATAGCTAAATTGGCTGGTTGTGTTTGGGACTCAATGCCTGTTTGAGAAATAGGCTAACAAAGGGTGAAGGTGAAGACCATTAGAGGTTTTAGAAGGGGCTGAGACGGGTTGCTAGGGTTGTGTAACTGTGCCTAGAGGGCGGGGTTCCTGAACATTCCTACTTCACCAGATAACCTGCCCCCAACACTACTCCAGCTTCTGCCAGACAGATGGGACTCTCCAGCATGAAAATCTGCGCAACCATTCCAACAAGTAGGGTAGGTGAAACTGAAATTAAAATTCCCCCTTCTTTTTTTTTCCCCCTACTTGAGGCCAGATCCTGGAGATACAGAAAGAATAGGGGTCATTTAGATTCTCCTTTTCGCGCATACACGTCTGCATTCTCCCTAAGAGCTTCCAACCTGTAAGAGTTCAAAGGCGCTATCTTTCACAGTACTTCATTCTTGATTTTCTCTTATGCGCTTTTTTTTTTTTTTTTAAGGCTTTCTTTTCCCATCCCAATCATTCTCCCGTCTCTACCCTCCCTCCAGAGTCTCCCCTCCCCCCACCCCAACCATCAGCAGTTAAAATAATCCACCTCTTGGTTTTCGGCCCCCAAACCGACCTTTTCTCCACTCCAGCGGTCAGTTCACCGGGACCTTTTCCTAAGGATGTAGGCCAAGGTGGCTCAAGGAAATATATGATGTAGTGTTATATTTTGAGTCTCTTTTCTGCCTTCCAATTTCTATCTTTTTTTCCCCCCCTCCACCCAAGACTGTGCCTGATGTTGCCCGGAGGATGCCGAGGAAAAAGACTTCAGGACTGGAAGAGCTCTTACCCAAGATCGGTAAGTGAAAGTGCTTTACCGGGATGCGGGTGGCGGGGGAGCTGTGCCCGACCGGCTGATTTTGACCAAGGCTCAAACTGAGACTTTGAGGTCCAGGACTAAAGTACTGTTTAAAAAAAAAAAAAAAAAAAAAAAAGTTCTTTCTTAGAGGGCGCGCTATCAGCAGAAGTAGCTGAAAGAATGCATGACTTTTTTTCCCCCTCGGCGGCAGAGAGTCACGGTGGATCCCTAAGTAAAAAGGGTGTAGACATGGTAAAAAGGGATGGTGAGAAAAGGAGAAGAGTTTCTATGGAGCCAGGGTAGTGGGAGACTGAACTAGGTTCCAAAGTGCAAAGTAATTCATTTCGTGGGAAAAGGATTTCTGAGTCTTAAAGAAACTGCGAGAAGACACTAACGAGACTTAAGGTTCAAACCTCTACGTATTTGCTCCCCCTATTTGAGACAAAGGTTTTTGTTCGAGAGTCAAGGGCTTGCTGCGTTCTAAAGTTTTCTTTTCTTTTTCCTTTTCTTTCTTTTTATTTCTTGGTGGGATGTCCCTCCTCCCCCTATTTTTACACCAACTTCGCCCACCTCCCCCAGAGCTGGCCCTCCGCTCCCAGCTCCTTGGCCTGGGTCGGGCGAGGATCCCTGCCGGCTTTAGCGGCGTTGCTCCAGGTAGAGTCGGGGGTGGGAGGCTCTCTTTCCCTTATTCGAAGGAGTAAGGAAATGAGCACCGTTCTGGGCTTGACTTCGTCCCTGCTGGGAATATCTCAGTTCCTGGCTTTGGGATCTCAGGCTAATAATTGATTCTTAATGCACACTTAGGAGACGGCGGTGTAAGCTCGAGAGCCAGGGTATCCCGAGAGTAGCTGCGGGCGCGCGAGACAGGTTGCCTCGGCCCGAAGCGAGTTTGGAGCCCTCGCCGAGGTTTCCCCGTTAGCCTTTCGGGCGCCCCGGGGACTTCAGCATGATGGCGGGACTTGAGGTCCCTGTGGCAGGGACCCGGCAGCGCGGTTTTCTCGGATTTTGGAATCGTGTAGAAACGTGCTTTGGGCGGCCGGGCCGCTGCGGCGCTGGCGGCGCGGTGCAGAGGTGCTCCCGGGCCGCGGCGGCGGAGACTCCGGCAGAGGGGAAGCCGGGCGCCGCGCAGCGAGCCGCAAGGTGAGGGCGCTCTTGCCCAGGACAAGGCGGAGCTCGGAGTGCGAGGGCGCCGGCTGACTCCGGGGACACCGACGCCCGCAGCTGGGCCGGCGCGCTTCCCCGCCTTTCCCCTTTCTGCCCTTTCTTCCGTGCTCCCCACCCGCCCACCTGGTGCGGTTTCAGATCTTAGCACCTGCTGGTTGATAGAACTGTTTCCTCTGTAGTGGACACCTTTTCTCCTTTCCACTCTACTCTTCCATTTCGCTTTCTGCCCCGTTTCTTTTCTGCCCAAACCCGTGGTCCGAAGTGAAGGGTTCTTAGAGGAAAAGAGGTAGCCTTTGGGGTAGGAATTCCAACACTTTCAAAGGTGTCCCTGCGCCAGGGAAAGGGAGGCAGGGGGTTAGGTGGGCAGAGCATCCTGCTTGTGCGAGGGGGATTCTCAACAGTGATCTTCAGCCTTGAAAAGAAAGAACCATGAAGAATGGAGTTCATCCATTTCCGACTGTCCCCCCCTCCCCGTCTTCCATAAGACTCAATTTCTATGCCTCAACCCCATCCTCACCTGGCCCTCTATCAAAACTAAGGGAGGCAGAAATTCCAGAATTGTTGAATTAGGAAAAGGCGTTTAAAATAGCCAGTAACTCTCAAAATTATGCTTGTGACAGTGAGAGAAGAGACAGGATGTCCCCTGTCCTTGTCACGGCGTGTCGCCTGCCGCGTGTGAATCTCAGCCCTCCTCTCCGGCCTTGGGGAAAGCTAGGGAGGAAGCTCACTGCACGTTGCACGATGTAGGTATTATCGTCCGAATGGGGGACTGTTCACTGCCAGACGTGTTCGGGATATTCAACTTCGCTTTAGGTTGAATTTTTCTACACAGTCAGCACTCCTCGAATTGGGGCCATCTTCCTCAGTTATATTCCCTCTTTCTTCTCCTCATATTGTCTAATCCTTTTAATCAGAATGCATTTCAGGTGCAAACCTATCTTGCTCTGGGTCTGGAAGGCAAGGCGTTGCTGTTGATTCTCTTGACTGAACAGAAAAACTAAAAACTAGTGGGGTTAGAGATAAACTGAATTATCTCTCAGTTCTTTCATTTTCTCACTGCTCTGAAATTTAATGACCTGATCATTGTTGTTTGAAGTTAAATTATCTGTTAAATTAGCTCTAAACAATAACTGGTGATATTTTCCTTTTGGGATCAGTTGCCCTTGCATCCTGTTTCCTAGATGGAAAGGAGAGGAGTCAAAGAGAACGTTTGGTCACATAATTATACAAAGACAATAAAAATGGATATTTATGTGCTAGTGATATCATGCAAGGAAAAAAATCACTTTCAAAGATGCTGAATTTCATAAATAAGAAAAAATTTGAGGCCTGTGCTTCAGAAGGACCACACTAATTCAAGGATGAATGTAAATAAGCATCTTTGTTGATTAAGAAAAAAATGTGAACACCATATTTTCATTACTCTACAGAACCTAAATACTCAAACTCATCATACACCGGTACTTGCTAATTTAAATTAATTCTGCCCTCCAGGGATAAATATTCTCAAAAAGGAAATTTAACTTTAAGCAAAATCTGAAATGTTTCAGATGTGAATTTCTAGAAATCCAAAGTATATTTATTTATTTGAGGCAGACACTTGTTTGTTTTGCAATCACTTTATGAAACAATTTTGGAATAACGCAGATGCTCTTCCCCCCTTCCTTGTTTCAGACTGCTTGCATATGCAGGCAAAGGCATAAGAACTCCCAGGGTATATTGAGGAAATAACATTTTTACTCTTTTGTTTTAACAAAAGACCCAAAGAACCTATAAAGCCAAAGGTACCATAGTAGTTTTTAAAAATCTTTAAAAATGAGCACTTTGTGTGTCTTTTACCCATTAAAACGTGCTGAATGAATAATTAGAGGCTATAATGAAGGTTGAAAACTCAGAACATGAATAAGGTGGCAATTTTATTATTTAATGCTTTTATAACTTTTATCATTAATTATGTAATTTTAAGTTTGGCAAAGCTTTGTTAGAAAAAAAAGAGTACTCGTCCCACCCCATCAAATATACTCTAGAAGGAATAAGGTAGAATCAGGTAGAAGTGGCAAGAGGGCTTGTTTATTTATTTCCAGTAGTAGTAATTGTAGTAGTAGCAGCAGCAGTGGAGTTGAAAAATATACTTTTAATTATACATTGGGAGCTCTGACTGCAGGCTGGAAGACTAGAATTGATCATTCCTGCATCGATGGCGTGGTCTATTACTGCATTGATTTGTGTTCATTTATGCAGACTTTCAGTTATTTACTTACATATTTCAGCATCTGCCTCTTGATTATTATCGCAGGTTGGTTTTAATGAAAGAACTTATATAGGAAACACATTTGACAGATCAATTTTAAGTAAACTTGGTAGTGAATTATGGCACTCCAAAGAGTGTATGAAATTACTTATTCGTACTTACTTTTTAGGAATTAGGAACCTGTCTCTGATTAAAATCTCACACTACTCAAAAGCTTCCATTCTTCTAACATTGTGCTTATGTTTTTATAAAATAGGAAAACAGATGATTATATGATGTTAGGTGTGATAGAATGAAACTGATGAATGAGGTTTTTGGGTTTTTTTTTTTCCGTTGACATGACTAGGTTACCCTCATGACAATAAAGTGACCATTGGGTTTACTAATGCTATTGAAAATCAAGGAGCAATGGATTTTGAATACCTCTAAGTTATGCCAGGGGTACTTATGCTGAACAGGATATTCTCAGATTCTTCAGTACATACTAAATGCATATATTCTATAATTTAGTGTATATCTACAATTATACCTTATGAAGATTGGCATTTCTCTTGAACTAAAAGCTTACATGTGAATGTTATGCATCAAAGTTGATTTGAACAAATAGGACAACTAAAGACCAGGGAGTGTGACTTTTGTATGTAAAAGGCAGTACTCTAGAAGGAATAAAGTAGAATCAGGTAGAAGTGACAGCAGGCCTTGTTTATCTATGGGAGATTGAGATGCATGTGCTTCTCTTATTGTCATTACAAAATGCTGAAAGATGACTTGGAAATGGGGGGAAGGAGTGGCCAAATTCTTTGAGGGCTATTTGCTTCTGACTTTACAGATCTTTTATTGCAGTCTGGAGGATCAGTTTTTCCTCACTAATAATTTAGAATTCATCTACCAAATACGGTTAATAGTTCTCTTCTTCGTTTCTCACACTTCCCCCTTCTCTGGTATCTGCGAAGAATATAGAGGAAAATTAATCGAATTCTTTCTTAAGAAGGAAAGGGCCTTGAGACATGGAATTAACTCTCCTCACCCTGGCGAGTTTTCCTGAAACTACTTATCCTCAGCATCGGTGCTCTGAGAGGTGGAGCCTCGCAGTCAGGCGGCTGCAGGCAGAAGGTGGGCGAGCCCTGGGACCTTAAGCTGTGTAGAAGGTTGAAAGGAGGAGCAGAGGGAGAGCTTTGAGGTTTGTTTATTTTGTCTATTTTTATTTTTCTGTCCCGTGCCAAGCCCTTGAAGTGAACACAGAGACATGGCCCTTTAGGACCAAGCACTCAGCATTCTTTCGAGACCGAGATTCCAGAGCATCAGATGAACCGACTTAGAGCTAAGGCGTGCTCACCCCCACCCCTTCCTACGCACGCACCAGCTCGTCCTCACGTGCGTCGGGGTAGTGGACAGTGTTGACTTGAATTGCTCTCGCTCGCTCCAAGCCTTTCCTGTGAATGAACCCGAAAACACTCGACAGGTCGTGAATAATCGTTTTAATGAGTGTGCAAAGCGTGCGACGGGGTGCACCGAGCTGTCGGGTTAAACAAACAACTTGTACCCTGACCAAATCCGATTGTTAAAGTGCAAAGTGATGTCAGTACCATTTCCATTGCCCTTCAGAAAACCACAGATCTGACACGCGGGAGTCCAATTTTCCCCATTAAAGAAAAATAACAATATTTTCCAACCGTGTATGTGATCTTCTTTAATATTAACCTGAGCCAAACAAAACCTCATTTGGGTATCAGAGAAGTAGTTGTGTCACTGCCTCAAAAACAAATCGAAAAGGAGAAAACAAGGAAGAAATCAGAACAAATCTAAAAAGCCTAACAGATTTCTTTTTGATAGCTCACACATCATTGCTGATCAATATTGTAAAAATCTTACACACACACACACAGCAGCTCAGTATTGGCAAAAATCAAGTTAACTGCATCTAAACAATTGTGATAGATCATTTGGTTCTGTATTAAAATAGAAACTACCAACCTATAAAGAATTTTTTTCTATTGAAAATCTAACGGAAATATGTGCTGTTATACATTAGTCTGTGGAGGAATGAAGGGATAAGTAGTCCTCACATTTATGCTTTCAAGGAAAGAAGGTTGGAGAAAAGTAATGTTAAAGGAACCCTCATGGGCCACCACTATCTAAAAAAATAACAAAAAGCACAGTGAGCTCCACAAATCACACTCTCCCCTCTTTTTGGACAACTGTACTGGGGAAATATTTTTGTTTCTTTCACATCTAGTAAAAATACCTACTTATTTAGAATCAGCCACATGTTCTCCTTTACTTGCTCATTCTTTTACCCTCTTTCACAATTCCAAACATCAACTGCCACATGAAGACTAAGAAAATAAAACCTCAAAAGTTTTTAAAAATTCTTTTTTATGTATCTTCTCTGAAAATTTTGTGCAGAAATGTGTAAAGTGTTGCCCTTGCCAGCACCTCATATACATTCACGAATCAAACAAAATGGCCCAGATGCTTGGAAATCAGTGTATCAGTTCCAAATAACTAGCTCCTTCAACTCAGTAACAATATAGGGAGATTAAGGTTTATATTTTCATTGGATTAAGTATTACAGATTACATGTTTTTCTTCTAATACTGAAAACATATCATGTCCTACAGTCTGAAAGTTTATTCATCCTCTTATAATTGTAGTCAGCTTGTAGGAATAAACTGTTAGGGATATTGTACATTTGAATATAGGAGCTCAGCAGCATTTGCTCACTTAACTGCTACTGCATAGGTGGTTGTCTATATATCTGTCTTTCTGACCATCTATTTCACATACAAATATGTCAATATACAGCCAACTGTAATTAATGAACTAACCCATCTGAAACATATAACTGAGTATCTGATGGAATAAGCATTCTCATATGGAAGCTGTTGTTATGGTTGCTAGTTTTTATACATCTCTGTCAGTTTAGCCCCAACTGGATAAATGGAAGGTACTGAAATTCAGTTTCCATCATCGAAACTTGGAAAAGACAACCAGTAGGTTAGGACAGTGTTTTTGTTGATTTTGACTGCTATCTGGTGAATGTCTGTATCAGAATATCAATTCAGAATAGCCTTTAATTACTAGGAAATTTGACCAAAATGACTGTCAAAAATTAGGGGCTTGCATTTTTATTGTTTTAAGTATTTTTGGACATACAACAGACTGTGCAGTTATTACCTAAACAGATTTCTTCTCTGTGGGCTGACTGAGTTGAGGAGTTTTAGGAGTCACTGAAAGAGCCGAATCCATTTCTGTTTTAGATTCACAAACAGCAAAGCTAGAGGGTGCGTCTGTTTTTGTGTGTATATATGTAGTTAAAGAACTGCACTATCAAAACATTAATTATATTTGAAAGATAGCAGAGAGCTTGTTGTGGAGAGAATTGCATTATTGAATTTATATTCCATGGAATGTGTCTGTGGAAAGGGCTGAAATTGTATACCTGTCTTATATGATGCACCCTCTTCAGTGAGGTGTGTAATAAGAGCAAAGAGATGAAGGAGGCAAACTTAGAGAGAAGAGATCTTAGGTATTTGGATGGTCCTAAGCAGAAGGAATTCACGCGCAAATGCAAATGACTGAAGAACAAGCCTGGGGTCTTTGTTCTCTGTCAACAAAAACAAATGTATTTTTTTCCCTCTATCAAACAAATCACAGAGCGATCTTAGCTGAATCTGGAGCACGTTGGGGGGAGAGAGAGAGACTGAGTGACTAAGAATATTCCAATTACCATAGTTCTGATTCCCAAGTCCTGTTTATTTCACAGCTGCCAAATTTTATTTCCAAAATTTAGATTCTCTTCCTCCCAAATCCTACATTGGTATGAATCATCCCTGATCATTTTTAGTTTTTGGCTTAATTACTAGTTTTCAGCTTTAAATTACCAATAAACTAATTAATCTGACTAATCTTTCTAAACTTCTGTTAAGTAGTATAATAGCAGCAACAACAACAAAAATAAAATAACAAAAACTGCAGCAATAATGACAAAAATAAAATGTTAATAATAATACAAACAATAATAGCATAAACAATTTAAAAATATTTTTTCTGGCCAACAGGATGAAGACGGAATCTATTTCAGTCTGAAATTTGTGTTTCATGGCTGCAGTTGGACATTCCTCTGATATCTTGTATCACTGGTTAGATGGATGATCCGTTCCTACCCAACTTGTGTTCTAATAGACTACCCTGGTCTAACATGGTGGATCATTTTAGTGTCACTGAGTGCTTTTGTGTCCCCTCTTCACTGCTATGGGCATGTCCCCCTTGGACACTATTCCCAAATCAATCAACCCAGAACAGACCTGGAAGCAGAGACAGACAGGTGAAGGGATTCTTGAGTAGAAGGACCTGGTACCATCTGACTGAAGCTCTTCTGGTGAATGGTCAAGTTGTCATATTTGGGACTCACCTTCACAAAGACAAGAAGTTTGAGAAGGGCATAGGAACTAAGGTTCTGTGAATCAAAAGAGAATTCTGGCCCTAAGGAATTCAGGTCATTGGGCGAGACACAAAAATTAGAAATTAGGGCCTCCAGGATGAGCTCTGATATCTTTGGAGATGGAGGGATGCAAAGAGGACACTAAAGTGGAGGGAGTGGAAGCAGAGGGAGGAGACCAGGTGGAAGATGTTAGGACCTGGTGATAATCTAGCTGGTAAAGTTGACCCACCTGTTTAGGAGGAGGGAGAGATGCTTTTATCAGTTGTAAACCTGTCAAGGTTTATTGTTCCAGGTACAAGAACAGCCACCAGCTCCTGAGACTGGAAAGAATCTGCTACTGAGTTTGTATCTGCAGGCATCTAACTCTCCTCTCAGCCCAAAGTTCTCCCTATGTCCTGAGCCCCCTATGCACCCCATCCCCAAGAAAAAGGAAATGAAAGAAAATAAAAAGCAGATAGGGAGAGAATTAAGACTCAGTGTTTGTCAGGCAGATGTTGGGGTTAAAGCAGATTGTTTGGGTAACTGCTTTCATTTTGGAGGGGAACGAAAGCTGGTGAGAAAAGGATGGGCATTTGTGGGAGAGAAGAGCAAAAAATGAGAGAAATTCCTTGGCAGCCCAGCGGAAGGAATTTGGGTAGGACCAAGTGGAAAAGGACTTTAGCAACAGGACAGTCTAAAAGGAAAGAAGGGTGATTGTAAGATGTGTTTGCATTGTTTTGTTTTCCTGCAAATTAATGTAGCCTTGAAAACTTAGGAGAAAAGATCTTCATGCCTTGTTAAAACACAATTGCAAAAAGAAAGGCATACTATCAATAACCAGTTTTGTCCTCAAGAAAACTCTTTTCTTTAGATATTATCATATACATGCAATCCATAATTAAACGAAATGGTAGTTGAAGGAAGGGAGGGAAAAAAAAGAACGACGGAACTGCCCTGCTGGTCTTACATAGTGCATCTGTCTCCTCACCTTTCACAGCAGGGAGGTTGAAGGATCTTTTTTCATTTCCATCTAGTCTTTTCACTTAAAAATGTAATGAAAATATTACAGTTCATGAGATTGTTTTTCATGAAAGATCAGAGAATGAAGAGCTTTCATTTCTAGGGAAAAATTCACTGAGGCGATGCTCAGCGTGCTACAGGAGAAAGACAACTTTGGCTGAAGCTGTATATTGCTCTGCTTTTCAGTGGCACCCCCAGACCTTCTCTGTGCACTAATAATAACTAGTAACTACTAAATTCACTCCACTCTCCTGGAAGTGCAACTCTGCAACTTGAAATCAAACTGGAGCTTTCCATATAAAATCCAACTCTAATTAAAATACTTTATGGAAAATATTCTCAGTTATTGTGATTGTTTTTATTCATTTGAATTATTCCTTGATTAAAAAACAACTATCATTTGTTTCAATGAGAAAATTAAAAGAAACCAACATCGCCAGTAAAAGCAGCCCTCAATCCTGTTATGTACATTCCCAAAGTATGGCTTTTAAGAATTTATTTTCAAACAACTTGGCTTTAATTGTACATATCTGAGATCCTCTGAGTCATTGGAGACATGCCTAACTAACATAAACTAAGTTAATACATTTGTAATGGGAATATTTGACACAAAGTAAAGAAACAATAAAAGTAGACATTTCAAAAAGTAGTAAAAGTCATGCAGACATTCACCTGCACTGTTTATGCACCCATTTAACAAAATTAGTAGGCTTCTATAACCCAGTACCTTAAAAATGTCGTTAGCCAACAAATATAAATGATTATGCACATATACCATACGTACTATGCTGAATATAGTTGAAACATGTACACTTTAGAAACTAAGAACTAAACATTTTAGTATTTCTAACTTTTAACCACCCATAATTGGTGTTTGTGATTTATAAACACTGAAGGAAAGTCAGAACCATGACATTCTGCTTGGACTGTACTATGAAGCAAATACAGGCGTCTTTCTGTTCTGGGTGTGCAGGAGTAAGGAACTTAGCAGTGAGTGGAGTTAAGATCTATTTATGTTTTCAGTAAGTGAAGATGCAGTCATTTCATTCTTTAAACATCCATATTCTACTATTAAATAAAAGAAATATTTACAGTTTCAAAGACGAGAGGTAAGCCCAAGTCAAACTATCATATCACAGAAAGGGAATGGTTTCAAATGATGCTAACATCTTTTCCAGCAAATTTTTCAAGGCAGATACAGGTAGATCTGTTGCACAAGTGACAAAATCAATATTTTTAAAATGGGCTCTGGGGGGTGTTTAATGAATTGACACTCTGAATATTTATGAGTAATACTCCTTTGAAGAAGGTTGTGTGACTATCACACTCCATAAAAATGGAGGACAGGGTGAAGCTTTGAGGGTGGAAATGTCCAAGCATCCTAACTATTACTAAAGGTGGGAGCCTGTGACCTGTATACAAAAAGAAAGGATTCCATGCCAAGATAGTAGCTGCAAAAGTCTATTGGTCCCATCCTGTTTATTTTCTTTTGGGTACACATTTCCAAAACAGATCCTTTCCACTAGGTTCTCATTTTGCAGTTATGGCTTCACCGACAGTAGCCGGCTTGTATTAAAGTGCAATCCAATGCACCAGCCCAGTTTTGAATAGAAGACAATGGACATGAAAAATAAAGTGACAGTCTTATCAATGAAATCCTCACTGGCAGTTGAACACGGAAGGAGAAGCCTTCAAAATAGGGTAGTGGGAGGAGAGCAATACTCTAGGTGAGTTTTTTTGGAAGATGCTAAGTAAAACGCTGTTCAGAAATTGGGATTAATCGAGCAGTTTAAATACAAATCTGCCGGAAATCGTGCTCTGAGAGAATGAAAATGAAGAAATTTATGCATATTCTAATTTTCCCTCTTTGGCTGCTATTTTGGAGGAAGAGACTTCTTTTGCTGATGGTGGGACTTTTTTGTTCTGCACAGGAAATGTGTAAATGAACACAAATGTGTGTGTGTGTGTGTTTTTTCCCTTTCCATCTCTCTCCTCCATCCCTCCTCCCGCTTTCAACAATCAGAAGTGGTTAGGGTCCTACAGACCCCAGGGTTTCTCTCCATTCCCAAGATAAGAGGGAGCAGGCAGTGCAGGAAGGGGAGTTAGGGCTCCTATGGGTCACTAACATTTGGAAATTAACCTAGAGTTTCCATCCCATCTTTGGACATTCAGAGAGAGAATGCGGAGGTGTCATACATTTAATGTGATGGAAAATCATCTCGAAAGCTATTTCCTCTCACAACTGGATTCTCAGTTTATGCCTAGTGGGGGAGGGGGGTCTTAAAAGTGATAAGTGACGTTGTGCAGATCCACTGACCATCACTACTGAGTCCAAACACTTTTCCTCTTGTGCCTTTCGGAACACACGGGGCCGGTGCATTTTAATTATATTAAGGCCAGCAAGAAACTCTCCAGCTCTCCTATTCTGATGTACGTCGCCCAGTACTGAGAACGAGTGAAGTGGTGCGCACTGGTCCTTTTGTGTTCCGTGGAATATGTCAGGGACTACTGAGACGGTCCAATGAAGTGTGTGGGATGAAGGTAGGGGCGGGGGCGACTCGTTCCGGGGGGAGAGGGCGCTCCAACGCGGGAAGAGAGAGGTTGAGAGGGTGGAAAAGAGAGGCGCTCCCTGTCCTCTCGCTCCGCATATGCAGGCCAGGCCGACAGCTTCAGAATTAATTCGAGATCGGAGAAGAGAGAGACAAGACTCCGAGTTTCTACTCTTATCTAGATGCCCGGATAAAAACCCTGGAGCCAACTTTCATTCTTAACAATTTAGTTTCAAAAAGGCTCCTCGGTGCCCTCTGCCTCCTCCGCCGGTCGCAAAGCGCTGCGCGAGCCCGCGGCGTCCGCCAAGGCCGGAGTCGGTACTCTGTCTCGTCCTCCAGCGGCTCCGCCGTCTCGGCCGCGGCCCTGGAGAAGGCGGCCAGAACAAAGCCCACGCTACGAGCCCCTGCCTCAGGTACATTTTCAGCGGCCACGTCGGAGCCTCGGACCCCCCAGAGGGCCAGCTTTCTAACACCCGGCCCGCCGTGACCCCGCCCTGCCGCCCACTCGTCTTTCTCCCTCAGTAAGAGAGCACCGAGCGGCCGACGCAGAGCAGGATTTCACCCCAACCCCACCCGCGCGACTGGGGGTCCGGGGCGTCCGTTCCCCTCCGCGTACCGGTGTGGGGGGGTTGCAGATTTGCCCAGGCAGAGGATGGGAGATGAACGCGGAGCCTCGCTGCAGACCTCCCGTCAAGGATACCGCCACCTCTAGGAACCTCTTCGGTAAAGCTCCAAAATGCCTATTTTGCAGAAAGCCTGCTATGGTGCGATGGGGCCTGGTGCTCAGAGAACTCTCTGAAGAGGCCTCGATGTCTCGGTGCTTGACTCAAGCCCTGCCCAGGCCCATTTCTCCCGCGCATCCCAGGTCCTGCACTTCCGGTCCCCCCGACGCGGGGGTGCCCTGACTCTCCCCTCCCCAGTACTTCCGGCCCGTGGGCTTTTGCGGTCCCGCCCAATCACCCGGCTGAAGAATATTTTTGAGAGCTGTTTTATGTAACTTTCCCGTGGCCAGTGGGAACTTTACCTGTTCCATTCATTTCTTTTTGACTTTAATTTCTTCGCCTTCTTAAACTTGGGAGGGGGGGCGGGTGGAGTAGAGGAGGGCCAGAGGTTTAAAGAAAAAGTTCATTGAAGATAAATCTTTTTTTTTTTTTTTTTGTCTTCTCAGGTCACCTTTCCCCTTTCGGAATTCCCCGCACCAGTTCACACCAGCAATTGGGGTTTAGGCCTGTTTTCCAGGGCCTCGGCCAGTCCCTGCACTTAGTAGGCATGCAATAAACCTTGAAAGCCCAAATGAATGCTGCTGCTTCCCTAGGCACATGGTGCTTAGGGGTGGTAGGTATCCTCAGAAATCAGCTGACGTTATCATTTCCGTTATTTTATTGAATTCAGTTGAAAGGTTGATAATTTTTTCTTGTATGGGCACTTTGATGTTTTTTAGGGACTCCTCAAAACAGTGGGAGGAGATCTCTTATTAGAGTTATTGAAAGTGTCTTCTTGAACTTTTTCATATCTATGAGGTAAAATGCTGTGATTTTTAGAATTTGGGGGTTTATCAGCCCTTTTGTGACCTCTCCTTTACATTTTGCGTTCTTTTTAAAGTTTTACCTTCTGTGGTAAGAGGTCAAGGCCTTATGAAGTTAATCTCTTGTAGACTATTTGAGGCAAAATTCTCTTTTGCTTTCCTGCTATGTTACAGTTTAATCCTTGCCAAACTTAATTCACTTATGCATCATTCAACTGTGCTCGTTCTTTATGATAGCATTTGTTTTTAAATGCTGTAAGAACTTTATGTAACCAGAGAAATTTTCGTAGTTGTGATTCAGTCAGTCAACACATGTTAAATGCATATTTTGCCGCGCACCAGTTGTGTAACCTATAGATTAGTCCCTAGGGCAGTTACTGTCCCACTTTCATTGACTGTAAAATAGTGAAAATATATAACCAAAAAGCTAATAACCATGAAAGTAATTTGAAAGGTTATAATTGCTAATCAAATTTAAAGTGTATTTATTAGCATCATTATTAAGAGGCATCAGAGGGATACAAATAAGACCTCTTCTTATCCTCTGGGAACTTACAATCTAGTTGGGGATAAATAATATGAATGTAAATTAATAGAAACAGCTACTAACCAATGTTCAGTGTCTGGCATATTGAAAACATTCAGTAAACAATTGCCTCACAAATTAATTTGCAGTCGTGTCATTCTTGTAACAGAAATATGATACTGATAAGAAATACAGGAAGGATTAATTAGGAAAACTTTCATGGAGAAAATGAATCTGTCCTTTATGTACCACATAGGAAGATTGAAAATGCAAGCCGTTTGTGTTCAAGGGGGTAAAGGTGGCATAAATGGAGAATGAGAAAGATATTTGATGAGATGGAGTTTTGGTGGTAATTTGTAGGAAACCTTGCAGGCCATGCAGAGGAGTGTGTATTTGATAGTAGAGGGGATGGAGACCTGTGGTGGCCCTGTAAGCAAAGGATGGCATGATTAAAATTGAGATTTATGTTTAAAATGATTCTAGCCAGCAACTGAGCATAGTGAAAATTGAGGGAGAAAGAGTATGAGAAAAGATTCTGGTTGCAGTTCTAGAATGGTATATTTCTATAGAGTGACTGTAGACAGAGTCATCATTAGGCCCTTTCTTCTCAGTTTTTATACAGTGGAAATTACATAGAAATAATAAAATCAGTAAGGAGTCTTGAATAGGATAAGAGCCACAGACCACTGGAATATATGTTACTACTTTTTTCTTCATTGTTGGTGGTGGCAGGG